AGGTAACGCTGTGACACCGGGGGTGGCAGCTCGCTCCGCCTGAGGCTACAAGTTCACAATAATGTGACAAGATATATGGCAGATGAAGCTGCCAGTAAACACACAGAGAGCTTTCCTATTTGCTTGTTCACAATGGTTCACTATACGCTTAGAGAGTACACTGAGGTTGTGTAAAATATAGTGACGTGGGTGGGATCAGTTCAAAGTGTTTTTGAACAGGTGGTGTCACTGAGGACTCTTATCGGCTTTTTACTGGTGAGGCTGCTGATGATAGTTGCCTCTGGCATTCAGAGATGCTTTTCACTTTTTGTGAAGGTAAACTGACTAAATAATTATCTGATTAATCAAAGAAATGCTGCTGATAAAAAAAATGGCTTTGTCAATGAGGTGGTAATCGGCTCTGCAGCCAAGTAACACCTCAGTGTTACCTAAGTTGACTTTGTGCAGTATTTCCATTTACTAAAGTTGCATTAGAAATGTGTGATTTACTCCTGAAAATAAAAAAACAGCAGCAATGGTGCTGCTTTTGACGGAGGAAGGGGGCGAGTGAGGAGCAGATTTTACTTTCTCTGGCCATTTATTGCCTTAACATGTCCGGGCAACATTTACTACCCCTGGACTATAATGACGGGTAAACGAGAGATGGTGGTGCAGCAGCCCCGGGCAGAAGGGGGAGGCCACTGACAACCTTTCCCCGGGGACAAGAGAGAGAGAGCCTCTGCAGACAAATGGATTCAAGCTGCTCCGTTTGCCTCACAGCAACGTTAGCTGCCGAACTAAATGGAGAGCTGGTCGACCCCGCCTGTCGTCGGTAACTAGCTATGGTCAGCAACCAGTCATTACGGGTTAGTGCTGTGTCACACGATGGTCTTAACGTAAGAGAGAGGCTGTCATTACCGTAACTACACAAAGGCAAACATCACCCTGCGAGAGGATGAGGTGTATCTAGACTAGCATGGCTAACAGGGTGAAGGTAGCAAATATTAGCTGCCTTATGCCTCACTGACCAAGTTAACAGGCTACTGTCTATCTAACACGTCTGGTGTTGGGGGGTTCCTCTGGTCTGTCACGCTTGAAGCTTCGCAAATAACGCGGCTAATTGGACATTTAGCCGATTGCAAGTTCCAGTCCAGATGCACGTCGCCCTGTAACCGTCCAGAGTGCCCTGGTAATGAACCAGTTTGTTGTGATCTTACTCACAGCGACGTGACTAATCACAAGCCGAGCAGAACTTCGAAGTCATGCAAGAGCAGCTGCCCTTTCTGGTCACTTCGGCTTATGAGAGTACCACAGAGCCGCTTTGCTTCAGTGTGACCCGCTGCTTTTCCTCCCGATCGTTATCACGATGCTCCAGTTCCATGTAGCGAGGTGAGACAAGCAATATGAGGCGACGTGATCCAAAAACTTACAAGTCGTAAAGAACGCAAACGCCATTAGTGGAGTTGCATCACGACGAATTAAAGAGTGGCTCCTGGCAACTTTGAAACTGCGTGCAGTCTCGCTGTGTGCCCTGTGCCAGGTTGAGGGCGATATCATAAGTCATAAATGGAGGACTTTTTGACCGGCATTTGGCGTGACGTTCTCTCAATACCAGGGCTAACGACTGGCTAACAGTTGCAGCTAACATTAGCAGGTTCGTTCGTCAGTCACACCCCGCTTCTTCCCCAGCAGCCACAGGACCCAGTCCCGCTGACTCACCTCTTTCTTGTCCTGGAGACACTCCAGCACCGCCAGGTTGTTGTTCCAAGAATGTTTGGGGCAAAGCCGGGTCAGGTCTTCCCTGCACACCGCCTCCTCTGCCAACTTCCAGCCGGCAGAGCGCCTCCGAGGCAGCGAGGCCCCAGCGCCCAGGTTCCTCTCAGCGGCTAAAGGGATGACCGCGGCCGGCCCCGGACCACCGGCGGGATTCTGCAGGTTATCAGCATTGCCTGTGAGTCTGGCGATAACACTGTTGTCTCCTCGGGTGCGATGCACAGCCGACAAGATGCACATCAGGAGCAGGAGCAGAGGAACACGTATACAGTCCGCCATCTTCACAGAGCCAGTCAGCCTGCTGCTGCCTTCGGGGGCTGTCGGAATTCTGGGAACTGTGAATAAAGATACACCGGGACTCTTTTTTTTCTCTCCTTCCAGGATGACCGTGGACAGCTCATGAATAATTCACGTGGGTTCGTGCTCTGTGTCATCCAATCAGATAACCACCACGACTACGTGCGCTGCAAATGAATCTAAAACGGGACAGCTATAGCTACAGCTAATCGTCATGTGTGGACATGTGGCGAAAAAGCAGTGGTGTTGGTGTCAGGCATGAGAACACAACAGGATGAGGCCATTTAGAAAAAGAGTTAAAGAGATTGAAGTCGAACTTTTAAGAATATATCAACCTGTCATAGGACTGCCTCTAAAATGCTTTGTATAGATGAGAGGGTGAAGCTGTACTTCAGTATTAGTTTCAACAACAGGGACGTTCTTTCTTTGTGAGATTGTGTCAACATGTGCATGTGAAGCAGAGAGCTGGGCAATAACACAATACCAGTGATCATCACAAGAACACATTCATCAGTAACAAGATAACAAAGGAGTGTGTGTGTGTGTGTGTGTGTGTGTTTATGACTCAGGATAAAAAAGAGGCTTTAAAGGTCCAGTGTGTTAAAGTTAGTGACATCTAGTGGCGGTGTTGCAGCTGAACACCCCTCACCTCACCCTCTCCTTCCAAACATGAGAGAGAACCTGTGGTGAACTTCAGTTGTCATAAAAACTCAGAAGATGTTTAGTTTGTTCAGTTTGGACGACAGTAAAAACGTGGCGGCCTCCGTAGAGAGGACCCCCTCCTGATGTAAATGTTAAGTATCTAAATATAAAGGGCTCATTCTAGGGTAAAGAACACAATAATTTTACAATTAAGATGAAAAACACTAGTGAAAACATCACTAGGATTATTTTATATTCAATATCTGCCAATAGATCCCTTTCACCTAAATCTTAAACACTGAACCTTTAAAATATACATAAATTACGATGTGACATTTATTGTGATAACTGTAAATATTGAATATAAAAATTATATCTTGATATAACATTTGGCCATATTGTCTATACAGACAAGCTTGGAAGAGGTGAACACACTCCTCTAACTGGATCTGATGGAACAGAGGAGTTACTCTCAAAAAAGTATTTCAACTTTAAAACTATAATATAAAACTCAACTATATCTTCTTCTGATTTAGTTTGACTTTATTTGTTTATTCTATATTATATGGAAAAATTTATGAAAAATGAAAAGACACCCTCCTCCTCTTTGTTCTTCCATAAGTGGGTGACAGTACAAAGCTGAGTATCATTTGACAAAATGATCTGTACTAGCCGTGGTATGATAGTTGGGCTCAGGCTACCAAAAAAATCTTGCTTTGAAAATATCAATATGCTCTTCCTTTACAAGGTTTGGAATTCATCCAGACTTACATTGTCATTTGTCTCGACAAATTGTGTCTGTTTTTTTCTCTATTTGAAAAACTTCTTAAGGTCTAATTGGCTGGAGCACCAAACCCAAAACTAAATACCTTAATATTAGTATGTGACCTAACGCCGAATACCTTAATACTAGTATGTGACCTAACCCTGAATACCTTAATAATAGTATGTGACCTAACGCCGAATACCTTAATACTAGTATGTGACCTAACCCTGACTACCTTAATATTACTATGTGACATAACGCTGATTACCTTAATAATAGTAATAATAATAATAATAATTCAAAAAATAACTGGAACAACTGGTGCAAACCTCTGCCACAATCCYACACATGATAGGCTGGTTCATATAGTAGAAATATAAAAAATATTATTTGCATCTGCACCATCCCTTCACCTCATTTGTAGAAAATCAGTTTTGTTTTTCTTGTGTAATCCTGTTTTTAACAAATAAACCAACATTCACAGGTGAAAACATAAGTTCAATTTGATAATTTAATTTAATAATAATAATAATGATGAGAGAGAGGGGTTGCCATTGTTACCTATAAATTAAAGATATCAAAGGATCACGTAGTCACAAATCTTTGAAGTTAAGACAGAGGTTAATTTGTTCCAGCATTTCAGCCTTTGCTTTGGAAACCATAACTCACTTTGTGAATTTGTCTTCATTTTAACGCCATAATTTGAGGATTTTTCTGCATTTAACGCAATAGTTTGAGAATTTTTTCTTGATTTTAACACCATAATTTGAAGAAACATGTCTGCAATGCTACCTGCAAAGGACAACCAGTTGGTTCCCATGAGCCTGCTTACCTCTGAGTCTTCCAAATACCAGGTGCAGTCACTTCTCCAAAACGGAACTTTTGGAAAAGTCGTAAAGTGCATGAGACTGGAAGACAAGAAGACCGTGGCCATCAAAATGGTTAAAGTGCAGGGCAGCACTGCAAATATGGCATATAATGAGGTAAGAAACAAAACTGTGTGCTTATAATAATAATAATAATTATTATTATTATGTCTGTGAGGACAATACAGAAGAGAAAAGAAAAAAGTAATAACACAAAACAGGATATATTTAGCAGCAGGGGGAGCATTAACTGAGGCCAAAGGCCTTAGTGAAGAGGAGTGTTTTTGAGGAGTGTTTTTTAAGATTTCGAGAGATTAAGCGTTGCGTATTTCGGCGGGGCAGAGAGTTCCAGAGGGGTATGACACAGGTTGAATTATACCATCCTGCATTGCGATTAACGTCCCTAATTAAGAATTGTAATAACTACGCTATCTAACTAAGTTGTGCAGACCTAACAGCCTTGTTTCCACCAATGCTGGACAAACAGCTCAGTTCACAGCGAGACGGGAAATCCTTGTTTACTCTCTATTTCTGACCAGCTCTGACTGACAACAATCTCTGTGTCACCTGCTATGTTTCTCCAGGTGGCTACTCTGAAGAAACTTAAATCGGTGGACCCGAACAAATGCAGCATTGTTCAGTGGAACAATTACTTTGTTGACAGAGGACACCTTTGCCTCGAGTTTGAGTACCTGGACAAAAGTCTTATGGTTTATATGAAGGAACATAATTTCAGACCTCTCCTTCTGAAAGAGATAAGACCAATTGTGCAGCAGGTATGTCCATGTATGTTCACCTCTGCGCTAACAAACAGTATGAACATATATACAGGTGGAACATTGTTGACATTTTTATGAAATTCACTTTTCAGATTGCCCATGCACTAAAACACTTGATGGCTGCAGGGATTGTCCATGCAGACCTCAAGTTGGACAACGTCATGTTGGTTGATCAGCTGCGGGAGCCCTTCAGGGTCAAAGTAATCGACTTTGGACTATCGCGTGAGGCGTCAGATGCCAAGTTGAAGACATACATTCAGACCCGTCCATACCGGTGAGTACCTGGAACCATGAGAGATCTTAGCACGTAAACTGAAACTAACAACATACTGTCTTTATCCATTCACATAAATGTCTTTGTGAGGTGTTTATTTGTGTAGCAGTAAGAATTACTGAGGTGTACTTCAAAACAACACAAATATTTGTCATGGTTTGTGCGATCATGGTTTATGTTTCTCTGTCAGATCTCCAGAGATCTTGTTGGGGCATCCCTTCAACGAAGCCATAGACATGTGGTCCCTAGGCTGCATGGCTGCTGCTATGTACCTCGGGACCCTCCTTTACCCTGGTTTGGGTGACTATGACATGGTACACATATTACTTGAAGTGCACTGTTTTTAGTTCTATAGAAATAAATCAGTAGTAGTTCACCTGGACTCTAAGTTGTGTTTTATTTTCAGATCAAGTACATCATTGATACACAGGGTCAGCTACCTGAAGCCATGCTGAACCGTGGACATAAGACTCCTAAATTCTTCAAATTAGAAGTCAGCTTCAGCTACTCCTTCTGGAAACTCAAGGTGCTGACCTAAAAAGGCATGTTATATTCAAATATGTCTATATACTTGCTGCAACATATTTGGTTCCCTCTATACATTTGTGCAAATCTGATGTACTCTGCTAACAACAACACTTTTTGAACAGACACCAGAGTTGTACTGCAAGGAGACGGGGAAGCAACCAATAGAGAACAGGAGTTTAAAGTTCACCTCCCTGGACCACATTGTGAACGTATGTCTTCTTTCGAATAGTTCATCATGAGCTTATTTCTCTAAGACGTCCAAGAGAGGTTTTCTTTATTCACTACTGGAGCTAACTAATGACATATTTGTTTTTTAGGTCCGACCCATCAACATTTGCAACCCTGCAAATAGAGCTGCAGAGATTTCCGACGTCCACATGTTTGTGGACATGCTGAAGGCGATGCTTAAGCTTGATCCCAAAACAAGGATCACACCCCATCAGCTGCTGGAGCACAACTTCATCAGCATGCGCCACATCGCCAGCATGGACCAACAAAGCAACTAGTAAGTCATCAATGTGATCTGGTTAAATGTTTTTTAATATATCATTTATTTTTTTCTGTATTTATTCCACTTGTACCTTTGTTTCTGTGGATACAGTTCATGTACAGGTCCTTACAATATGTCTTATTCATCTTCACTATCTCAAACACATGATAAACTGAGCTAATGAAAGAATTCATTTTCTTGCAGTGTCAGGTCCAGTTTTCAAACTATGGAACTCTTTCAGAAGAACATCCTGACTTCTGACAGCAGTGTGTGGGCCACTGATGCATCCCCAGCCCACTGCTACAAACCCCTTCTAGCAGAATCCTCCATCTCATTCCGAGGGGAGAAAAATGACCAGCCCCATGCAGCACACCGGCCTACTTTCCTGCACCACCACCCAGTCCAGCGGAAATGAAGAGCAGAGAAAGAAGAAGATTAATCATGATGATGGTCTGCCTCCCAAGAAAATCTGTCTCCACCGGTCAAATGCTGAAAGAAGGTTCCAGGTTCCAAAATGTGAATCCAGCACCAGCAGAGAATACTCTCACAGTTGTCATAATCAGTCGGATCAGAGGCCCAGGCCTGCTGATCACCACCACAACGCAAAGGGTCAGGCTTTGCCGGGACAGAAAAGAAAACCAGGTGACCATGTGCCGCCTCAGAAGAAAATCTCTCCTTCCCGTTCACCGACCGAAGGTTCAAGGAGCAGACACTGTGAGAGGAAACAGTAATAACTGTCTGGGCAGATCCACCTGCAGAGATGATTCTTCGGACTCCCGCCACCATCAGTCGGATCAGAGGGGCAGGCCTGCTGATCACCACCACCACCACAACGCAGGTCCGTCAGGCAGAACCCGGACTGAGGGTCAGGCTGAGTCTGGACTTAAAAGAAAAGGAGGTGAACATGACGATGTGCCGCCTCATGTCCTCCCCGTTCAGATACTGACAGAAGGTGACAGGATAATTGTATCCACAGCAGGAGCAGGCACTGTGAAAAGAAAAAGAAAGAACGACTATTGCGGCTTTCCAATCCCTATAGAGTCGCTTGAGAGGCTGAGAATAGGTCCTGTATATTTGTAGTGACACACTGATGCTCAGTGAAGCACGGTGAGTCTAAGTAAGTTTCAATGTATTTATTAAAGGATCCAACTAAACAAAATGCGGTCACCAAGAATTACGGCTACCTAATTCGCCTCTCTCCTCCCCAGTGCGGGTGATTCAGCCATTATTATAACCTACGGCAATCATTTACGGCACCCATGTGACCCAAACCCCACATATCACAGTGGCAACCAGGCCAAACAAATCAAAACCCGAATAATGATAATCAAACAATATATATGGCTCCTACAACACCAGCCCCTAATTATTAAGTTACTCTTAACAATTAATCACATTCAAGTAGAGACAAACACATGAAAAAGACTTTCAACAATAAAGCTCAACAATGAATGTCCATCAATAATCCACTCTCAAATCTTCTTTCTTCTTGAATCACATGTATATGACTCAAAGGTCCACAGTATCACTGGTTAAAGTCAAATAGTCAAAATCCAGCAATGTTAGTCTAGTTAACAGTCCAAAAAAAGTCAAAGAAGTCACAACTGAAGCCAGTAAGTCTTCAAATGGCTTCAGCCTCCTGCAGCAGGCACACCTTCGAGATAGGCCAGTCCAGGCACCGCTCCGGGTTTTAATCCGCATCAATTGCTTTAATTTAGATACAAAAAAATCCAGTAATATACTATAATTCTTTTTACAGTACATTAATGGCACATTTTTTGCCAGGTGTTTTCTGTAAATTCTACAGTCAATTCTCTACAGTGTTCGCTAAGTGCTGGATAAATTAATTTCCAAAAAGTCACTTAATCAAACTTAACTTAGAACAAGGTTTCACCTGATGCAGCTGCTCCAGTCTGATTGGCTGTAAATACTGATAAATGTAATGTATTTGAGTTTTAAGCTGTTGTTTGGAACAAATGAACAACATCAAGCTTTTGTCTTCCATTTTTAAATGCAAATCAAATCGATGGTCTGCAGATTACAGATTTTTTAAGCGCTAACAAGCACTTACCCATACTTCAGATACTTTTTCTAAACTCTTAACACAGACTCACACCTACAAACCACAATTGGCCTACCTTGCCCTCTCCTTGGGCCTGCTCTTCTCCATGGGCCCCTTGCTCTTACTCTTCCTCATCCAGACAGATTTTGTCTTTTTCTGTTTCTGTTTCCTCAAAGTCCTCCTTTTACTGTATAAGTAATGCCACTGAGTCTAAGCCAGACTGGAATCAGCTGTGGTTTGCCCAATTTACCCAACATACATCAGCTGTGTGTGAATTACTCAATTGTTTGTTTATTATCAGCTGAGATATATTGTTTTAGAACTGATATCATTGCAGAAGAGGTTTTTAGACTGTATATAAGGTTTGGAAAATTGTTTTTGCCATTGTGGGATGTTGTGTGTTAACATTCGTAAATAATACAAAAACAACCCATAATTTTGTTGGGAGGTATAGCTTGTCTGTTAAGAAAATGTAAGCATTGTGGAAATGTGTTCATTGACTGCATATTGTGTGTGAATGGTATGGCCAGAAAAGTCTGATGCTGTGCTAACTGTGTTTAGAGTTTTGAAAATGTGACCACTGGTTGGACAAACGCTTGTTAGCGACTGAAAAAAAACTGTCATCAGTGATGACCATGATTGGTATGGCTGGGCCACACTGGGTGCCTGAGCGGCACATGGCGGCTGCGTCAGGGATCTGCTGTTCACACAGGAAGCATGTCTGCTGTGGAGCTGCTACATTCTAGTGTGATTAAAACTTGGTCAGTGTAAACATTCTCGACAATACGACAGGACTCTATGGTATGAAGCGGTGCAACTACAAAAACCAAATCGTCCCAATTCAAAAATTTTCATTTTTTCCCCTCACAGCCAAAGTACTCTGAATTTCATTTCATTTTATTTTTTTTCCCAGTGTGGCCTGGGTCTCAGTTGTGGTCTTAATGCTAATCTTGTCAGATCTCTGTGTAATAGAGCCAGAAGAATGGTGGAAGTGTGAAGGTATTCTTCAGATCAAGTATAGTCAACTCAGTCACCACTGATTAAAAATAACATGTCATTTTTATTAACCTTGAAGTTGTACTCAAACAGTTGGTAGAAAATATACAAATATACAACATTCTTAAAAAATTTAAACAAGGAAAAGTTTAAATGGGTCCTTTGGCAGTGTTCGTTGTTCTGGTTCAGAGAGGAATGAGACGAGAGGACAGAAAGAAAGTGTGGTGATGATGGAGCAGTTTTCGGTTTGTGATGATTAAAATTAAAACAAAATCAAATGTGCTTTAAAAGGAGACATGGGCCAAGGACGATCAGTTTTCACGAACAGTTTCAAATCTGCTCTCAATCCTGCTTCACTTTGATGCGGCCAGGCTCATTTTTGAAATCCAGGTTTTTCAAAATTGGATTTTTAGAACCAGATTTTTTTTTTTTTTTAAATCAACAAGCTACAAGTTTACCATTCACTCTAACAAAGCACAGCCTAACCTGAGCACCACACGACTGTCAACCATGTTGAACATGAAGGTATTTTATCTGACATACACTGCTGGGCTCATGTTAGAGCTCATACTCACAGTGTTATCCCTGTGTCAACAAATAATGAACATTTGACAGTAGAGTGAGTTTTTAGATCAGTGTCAGATAAGATGTGCTCAGAGCGAGTGATGACGCTGCAGCTGCCAGATCACTATTTAACTTCTAGTTTGTGGTGGATTCAAGGGTAATCTGACGTCTGAGCGTTCAGTAGAGCAGCTACAGGAAGGCACTGCAGTGATGAGCTGACTGTGAAGAGTAGAAAAAAGATAACAGGCAAACATGTTTCTGATGTGCACCCTGGTCTCAAATCTCAACGCATGCAACAGTTTGTAAGAATCTTTCTACTCAAAGCTTAATATCTTTCAATCTTCAGCAGCTTTCAAGCTAACACCACAAACAAACTGACACCACTGGCTGCCTGAAATGAGGAAAATAAATCTCTGAGGTGACAACAGAGTCAAGGCAAATGATCCATAGCAATGTGCAAGACACACTATAGCAGCAAACTAGTGGTAAAGGTCCTTTAATATTTCCATTAGAGGACCACACCCATGGTTTTGCACAATTTAGCCCTTTAGTTACAGTCACATCAGAACTAAACTAACTTTTCAAGCTAGGCTGCCGTTTTGTCTTGAGGTGTATTTGTGCAACCCATCTCAATGACAATACAGCTGTGAATATAGACCAACCAATAAGGGACTGCCTAAAAACGATTACTTAAAGTTGATTATAAAAAAAAAGAGAGACCGTCAAAAATGTATGTGGCAATGGAACAGTGTAAAACTAACTTCAGCACTCTCTGGTGGACAAACACTAGAACTGTCATTTCTTGTCACTAATATATAAAGGATAGTTTGAAGTCAGCTGATGGTATGTGTCCTGCCAACATATTAATCAGGCTCCAGTTGTGAGGTAATGCATTGTACACTTTACAATAATGTACTGAGTGACAGATGAAACAATGTCAAATATGTGCTGCTTCCAGTTTGTGATCATAAACAAAGCAGTTTTGGACCATGGTTGAAGACGTCACCCTGGGCATTGGGTCACTGTTAACAATTTACAGAAAAATAGGGAAATGAACCAATAGTCAAAGAAGTAGTTGCAGCCATAGGCTTGATGTTGACTGTGATGGGTTACACAAGTCTTAAAAAAGATGAGTCAGAGCAGAAGCTGTCAACATTTAAGAAAAAACTCAATTAGAACAGGACAGCCTGAAGATGAAGAGACATGGTTTGTAGTTGTAGTCTGTGCTTTAGTGGCAGGGCTGATACCAAAGTACCAAAATGATCAAACCATAATACCAACACACACCTGAGAGCAGGTGAAAATCACTATCTTCACCTTTTCAACTGCAGGACCTCAGGACAGACACACACGCAAAATATGAATAATTTGACCTCAGACTTGTATAAATATAACAAACATACTCCGTAGTTTGGGATCATGGTTTAAGGAGAAGCTCAGTGTGTCTATACACACCTGACAGAGGCGTTCTGTCTCAGGTCAAAGGTCAAGAGTCGCAGAAACGTGGATGTATGCTTATAAAAGAGGAAACTTAAAACGTGGGTTCTGTGTGTAAACAAGCAGACAAAGGTTTAGCAGCATTCGATTTCCAGCACAGTCAGATCCTGTCCTTGTGCTGTGGGATTGTATCTGGTCCTGGTTCACTCCCACTTGTAGAGCTTCAGCATCTTCTCCGTTAGCGAGGCCAGGAAGTGCTCCCCGTTCACCGCAAATGGACTGATGTCCAACACGGGGAGGTCGGCTGGAAGCTTTTGCAGCAGAGAGCCGCTGCTGGCGTCCCACACCTGAGGAGGAGGAGGAGGAAGAAGATGTTGAGATTGTTGTTGGGCAACAAAAATGAAATTAAGAATTGTATTCAACAGCTTCAGTCTACATATGATTGTATGGATAAATATAAAAACTGAAATACTTATACTTAAAGGCAACTTAATGTAAAATTAAAATACACAAAGAGCAAAAAACATACAAAAATAATAAAATAAACTGAATGAGGCTATTTTATAAAATAAACAAAAGTCAAAAATATAATAAGTCAGCTAAACAAATTAGGAAACTTTGGGCTCTATGAAATGAATATAAATACATAATAAAAATAACATTTAGAACAAAGGACAAGATGGTGAATATCCCTTGTACGTTTGAAGGTCTTCTACACAACTAAAGTTACTAACTACCAGTAGATGTTCGCAGGTGTTAGTGGCACCAGCAGATGTAAGGGACATAATTTTTTTTTTCAACAGGTTGAGATGAGGGGTATTCAGCTGCAACATGCAACTTCACCACTAGATGTCACTCAATTCTACACACTGAACCTTGAATTAATTCTCTCTATCTCACACACAGGACTTACCATGGTAGAGTTTGAGGCCTCGTCACCAGCACAGACCAGGGTTCCCACTCCATCTGGACTCTTGAAGACGGCGTTCTTGGTGAGCAGTTTACAGGACGAGCCAGCGCAGAACGTCTGCACAGGAGCGCAGGAGCAGTTGGGCAGCTGACTCGAGTCCTGCTGAGGCGTTCGGTTCAGAGCCATCAGGACGCAGCGCAGAGATGGATTGGAACGTCCTGGAGGAGAAACAAGGATGCTTCTTACAGAAAACTCTAACTAACATGTCTGTTCCAGCTAGAGACTTTCACTGTCTACTGGAAATACATTTCATTTAAAGCCAAAATTAAAAGATTATCATTGAGTTTTTGACTGATTGTCGGACAAAACAAGGCATGATGACAACATATCGGGCTCAGAGAGATAGTGATGGTATTTTGCCCGCAATTCTGTGACATATTGTAAGTAAAATGAAAATAATTAGCTGACATAATGAAAGTTGTTGCCAGATGCAGCACTAATCTGGACTCCATGTGAGTCTGGTTCTCTGCAAGGGTCAGAGTATAAAGGGTATAGATGATCTCTGGACCTCACCTGGCCTGTACGTGACCAGACAGTGGCGGCTCTCTGTTTCCACCTGGATGTCGGTGCAGCCAGCTGTCTCCAGTGGCAGGACATGGGGTCTGTATGTGGCCTCGCTGACCTGCTCCCAGAAACACCCGCCCTCCAGAGACCCTGCGATCAACCCGCCGCAGGGGAACGAGCTGGATGCTGCCCGAGGGACATAGCACAGAGATGCTACCGGACACCTAAAGAAAAAAAAAAAGAAAAGAAGAATACCTTTTAGCTTGTAAATGCTAATAAAAGCGTGCAGGGTTAAGGCTACATTAGTGGCAGCCTGCTGCATGTCCTCCCTGACCACTCGCTGCAGGCATACACTCACTAATCACAAGTTTTTAGGACCTGAACTGTACATGGAGTTTACTTTTCAGGATTTATGAGGCATGTATTTCAGGTCGAAAAAAGCGTTTTGTTCACACGCATTTCAACTGCTACGCACAACACGAGACAAGAAGCACAAAGCCAGGACATGAGGGTTAAAGTGACTGGAACGATCTGGATTCATGATCCCACACCACCAATTAATAACTAAATGCTGCAGACAGGAGAGAATTTCTTTTCCTGCACAACACAGTTTTTTTTTTTTACATCATTGTTGCAGAAGACATTTATCCAGGAACATAAATATGAATACACAAGGTTATTATAAAGATCTGTACAACAAGAGAGTCAATAGAAAAGAAACAGACTCTTGTTAAAAGTTAAGTTTAAGTTAATTATTGCTCCTCAATGCAGGTGCACTGCCAAGGGAGGTGGGCATGAGGGGCCACCTTGACATTGTAAAGGTTATAATCAGAGATTTTTATGATAAGACTGAGGTGTACATAAGCCTTAATGCATCAATGTGGAGGGCATCAAATTAACTAGATCACTTATTATGTGGGGTGGTCAGATCTCAAATCGCAGGTTGGGTTGGCCGGCACACTGGTGTGTGTTGCTTACCTGGAGCGAAGCGGCTGTAGCTCCTGGACGTGTGTGGTGGTGTCTCTGGTGTCGTAGACGAGCACCGAGCCGTTGTTCAGACCAGCATAGATGTAGTTAGGGTTGTCCAAACACCAACAGCAGCTCCACACTGGTTTGCCCGCGTTATAGGTCTGAACCACTGTGTTGGTCAACAGACTGAAACACACACACACACAGTCAGTCAGTCCACTTGACACCACCGATTCGCATCATGTCTGTGTGGCTGATCACAGAGAGGTGTGATATAAGAACTTGTGTGTCTGTGTACCTGGTCAGTTTGATGGTGTTGTCCAGGGCTGCAGACAGCAGCAGACTGTCATTCTGTCTATTGAAGGACAAGCCTCGGATCTGTTTACTGTGGATGGGGACGTACTGACTCGCCTTCATGTTCACCACACTCACCTTCTTCACCCCACAACCTGAGTGTAGGAGACAGAAAGGTCACGAGTCAGAGAAGAGGGGGGGAAACCTTTCTGCAGAATAACTTGTGTTACTCTGCAATGTTCATTTTCCAAAGAGTAAGAATGTGCTCAGAGAGGCTACATCCACAGTAATATACGTTTTCATTTTAAAACTCAACAAAACCATCTCCATCTAGAAGAAACCTTCTGACGGTACGACATGATTACAGTTTCAGATTACAGTTTCGTGATCCCAATGCAGGTATAGTCCCAGAGTCCAAATAAATTTCCTACATTCAAAAGCTCCAATAAATTTGTATTTGGGATGAAGGTGATGCTACAGGGAAGCTTAAAATACATCTAAAAACAGTAAATGTGGTAAAGATAATCCTATGGAGAGCATCATGTCCTCAATACGTTTCATATCTGGCCAGTAACTACATGTTAACCTGGACTGAGCTGTTGTGAACAGAGGACAGATGGGCAGATCTTCCCTGCTGCTGGTCCAATAGTAAAAGACTCACCAGGCACCAATGTGGCTTGCGGGGAAGGCTGCGAGGCAAGCAGGCAACTCAGAGGTTCACAGTATGACAAAACCCTGCACCCTCCAGCCTGAAACACTAAAACTGCCTTGGAGAAGCTGTACTGGGCCTTCCTGGAGCCCTCTGGCCTCTGAGTAAGGCCGTGGAGTATGGCTGACCCTGAGGAAGAAGAGGAGGAAGAGGGAACTGAGCTTCTACCAGCCTGAGCCATTAGAGTCCTCAGCTCCTACACAAACAAGAAGAGAAGAGGAACGATTTTAACCAGGACAACGTCAGGAGATTCTTCTCTTGACATTTCTGTAGCTGGAAGAGAAAACTCATCTGAATCAGGTTACTGGACATTCTTAAAGGGACAGTTCACCCAGAAATGAAGCTTCAGGAGCAGTATGGAGTCATGTTATGTTTTTTCTATTGTTATTACTTCTGAAGAAGGACTCACCATTTAATCCAATTGAATTGGATTCTGCAGCAACAAAGTTTACCCCTAAAACTCTAGAAGTGGTTTGTGGAATCAAACCCTACACCCACCCACCAGCTGCATAGTGGTAAGTAGATAATGAGTGCTCGTTCAGTTTTCAGTGAACTATCCCTTTAAATGTATGAGGTCTTGTGTAAGCCAGGTTAATTGTAATCAGCTAATCAATGAATGCTTTTATGTCAGTAAAAGACATAATAATTAGTTCATAAACTGAAGGCAGAAGAAACAAATATTTTTTTATTTTGGAACATAAGAGATGGAAGATATCTCTTGTATGTTTGAAGGTCTACCACAAATAGTACAAGTACAAGCCGAGTACTATGAAATCAGTATACCTCACAGTATATCAGATATCATAACCTCTATGCGTTTAAACTGAACACCGACTGTCAGATGTTAGTGGCTACCAGCGGATGTTTGGGACATATCTTCAGTTGTGTACCTTAGCATCATCAGGTGTTTCAACCTACTGTACCGTCACTTCTATGAAGTAGACAGTGCACAGGGTGTTGGACCAGAGTACCAGGTATGGTCTCAGGGTGGTAGTGACAATGTGTGGTGGGACTATAAGCCGCTGGCCTACATCCATCATTATTTCCCTATCTCAGGCTTGCTCCAGCTGACCACTACTGACCACACCACTAAAAGGCTTATATGTTACAATCATAATTTTAAAATATTAGTATTTTTGAATACCTATATGTTTGTATTGTAAATATAAATACTGCTAAATGATTTAAATATTATCAAAGTATCAAGAAATCTGAAAATGAACTGTCATTGGTACCTGCAGCTCTTGTTCTACTTGTCCATATTTGCTGGTGACGACCTGTAGTTTGAGTTTGTACTGAGCTGACTCCAGTTCAGCCTTCCTCCTGAGGGACTGCTCCTGCTCCAGAGACCTACACAACATCACACACATAGGGTAAAAAAATGGCAGGTTGTAGTGATGTCAACCCATAGGTTTATATCAAAACCTGTCCTGACACGTGGTTGAAATGCTGTGCAAGTTGCACCTAAACCATAGAACAACCCAATTTATACTGCATATAACTTCATAATTAATTTCCGTACCATTAATATATGCAACCCAAGTTTGCATTATAAATGTATCAAACTGTATTTTATATTTCTTAATAACTTGAAAAATGGATTATAAAACAACTAAAACTAGCAGGACTGCACTAACCAGTGCAGTTTCAGTTTACACATGTTTTGCTCATGATTTTACTCATGTTTTTCAGACTCTTATCAGTTCATCTTTAAGTCCAAATGACAACTGGTCAAAATGTAAAGAAATTCCCTAAAGGCAGACTTAAGATATCATGTTCCAGAGGCTAAAAACATGTTTTGAGAGGTTTAACCTTGACCTTTGACCTCTAGCACTCCACCATCTCTCTCCACTTTTGCATGTCTATGAGCCCTTTGTGTGTGTGGGACTGTGTTTCAGTGTTAAAAAATGCAAGAAAAAAAATGAGTGTAAAAAGAATTTCCCCTTGAGGGATCAATAAAGTATCACTCTTCTTCTTCTTCAAAATCAAATCAGTTCATCTCTGAGTCTAACTGAACGTCTGTACCAAATTTGAAGAAATCCCCTCAGGGTACTGGACAGTTGGACAACCCTGAAATAACTCCGGTCACTGGGACAGCACATTGTAGAATAAGCCATAATATTAGATGACAGGTGATGCCTTGTAAGATCTCTCCCCAACAAGATGGAAGAGCTCACGGCGCTGACCCGGCAGCAGAGGGATTACCGGGAATGCAGCCTCATGTGCTTCACTGAGACGTGGCTGAGTGAACATTCTCCGGACTCACACGTCACTTGGCGGATTCCAACTAGTCCGGGTGGACAGGAAAGCAACGGATAATGGTAAGAAGAAGGGAGGGGGAATCGCTGTGTTTGTGAACGATAGATGGTGCCACCCGGGACACATCAGTGTGAAGGAGCAACTCTGCACCAGAGACTTGGAGCTGTTAGCGGTCAGCATGCAGCCATACTACCTCCCGAGGGAGTTCTCACATGTTATTGCCATGACTCCCCTCGGCGGTCGCTGCTGCAGCCACAGACCAGATCCACACTGTCATCTCGCAGCTTCAAAACCAGCACCCCCAATCCCTCCTCCTCATCTCCAGTGACTTGTATGTTAGCTGTATTCTGACTGTTCTTTCAACAGTGATACCTTTATTACACATATTTCATCAAACTTGTTGGACCTCTGTAAACTTGGCGTTCAGGCAGAGAAAGCATCACTCACTTTTTTAAGCTCTCTTCCTCAGAGTTGTCCAACGCTCTCAGCTTTGGAGCGTACAGCAGCACGATGTCTGAACGCTTCGCTTTCTTGTTACACTAAAGACAAATAACAGGAACAACCAGTGGGTCAATAAACAAACTCATCAAGACAACAAAACATGGCAGCCGAAATAATCCTTCAATCATGAAGGTCACCATTTTAGCTTCAAAAATTAAATTGACTTTTGTTGAAACTTGATATTTACAGGGCTGATGTGACTGCCTGTTAAAAACAGTGACCTCACTGACCTGTGGACATTTAGCGGCTGAACCCTGAGCTTTCAGCCAGCGCTGGATGCAGGTGTAGCCGAAGAGGTGTCCGCAGCGCAGAGCGGACAGCCTGTGCTCGCCCGCCGTCGTCCAAGCCTCGAAGCAGATAGTGCAGTTGTCGCCTTCACTCTCCTCACTCGACTGGATGGAAGCCAAGGCCTCCGAGGGCAACTACGGATGGTGATGACAGTCAGATTGACATGAATGATAAAAGACCCAGAGCAGAAGAACTATCAAGTTAAAGAAAGAGAGAGAAGTGAAGGAGTGAAGGATTGACTGTTACCCTGACACCCTGATGTTGATCTTCTGTCCTCTCATTGTCTGCAGCTGAAGTGGGGTCTGAACACAAAGCAGATACACATAAGATCTACAGTAACAAACTAAAAAATGATTGTGTGCCTGGTTGGAGCCTCTTTATAAAACCCTTGTTAGACCACGACATATTCTATGAGATTAAAGAGTCTGCACTCGTGTGGGAAAACCAGTTATTGAATTAGTTATTCAGCCCAGACGCCAGGAATTGAAATTCTTGTTGGACTCACTGGCTGAGCTGACATCCTGTGGCTGCGTGTGATATGTGGAGGGGTTGGGGTGAGGATTGGTTGGTGGGGCAGGGTCAACAAGCAACACGGCGGCAGAAGCATCCTCTTCATCCGACTCGCTGACGTCTGTGGTGCTGCCTGACTCTGGCTCAGCCACGCTGGCAGCCGGCGCTCGGAGCAGAAAGTCAGGGAAGCCTCTGGATGGTGCTGCCGTCTGGCTGGGGTAGTGCACCCTGAGGCCCTGCCTGCCGCAACACGCACACACGAGTGAGAGAGAACCAGAACAGGAAGCGGTGAGCTGAAACTGCATCAATCTTTCACATGTAATTTCATAAATTGATATTGAGATTATAGTCACTTTAATATAATTTACAAGTTTCAAAACATAATATATTACCAACGTAAAACACAGACTAATTCTGGGTACCTGACTCTCCTCCGTAGGGGTGCCCCCCGAGCTGCTGATGGCGTGGCTGCAGTCCGGACTGCCCTCTGACTAAACGCCCAGGTTGCTGGAAGCCTCGGAGGTGGCCGAGCTGCCGCCTGTCCTCCATTGTTATCATGTTCGTCCTCCACCTCGGTACTGCTGCCGGAGTCTGAGATGACATGTGGTGCGTCGGCATTCTCGGCCTGGCCAGCAACAGCTGCCCGTGGCGGTCTGCTGCCTCCTCCTTGTATCTCCGCAGGAGAGTCTACCTCCATCGCCTCCATCTGCACAGCAGCACAGTGAGGAAACAGCAGAGATGATATTGTTAGTCAGTCTGCAATACAGCACATCAGCAAGATTGTGGGTCAAATTTCGATTTTCCGGAGAATCTGTGGATTTTTTCCAGTAGGTCTGTATGTGACAACGCAAATGTCCGAGTGAGTGCCTCCAAACTTCCACCAGAAACGTCTCGTGTTAATGTGAACACGTCTGAGCGAAGAATCTCCAGCTGCGTTGTTCATGTGTCAAAAGCAAAATCTGCAGAATGTTTGCACTCAATTGTGTGAATGAGCATGCAGTTCTGCTTGACACAAACTTTCAGCTGCAAATGGAAACCCATCTGATAGCATCATCTTTTAATTGAAAAAGCAAACACTACACATTATCATTTGAAAATGTGTGGCTAACATACATGGTGAGATGAAGATTTCACTCACACAACTTGCTCTGATGCACGAATAATGCTATAACGACACTGTTTCTGAACACTGTTTACTTGAGAATCACAGCATAGTTAGCTTCGTAACTGCATTCAGAACCCCTCTGTCATGAGAATTTCAGAAACACATTCATATGCATTTTCATGGAGGATTTCCACTCTTGTTTACAATCTACAGTTTTACTTATGAACTATTTTGCATCACAAATTGCAGGATATCAGAATGTTTGTGAACACTGTGCAGCACCTTTCCACCTAAAGAAATGTGATGTATGAATAAAGATAATTAGTATTGTCTTTAACTGCTACACACTGTTTGACACACCCTGGTGAAGCTGTGATCCAGACTTCTATGCAGACATGATAATGCCCCACTAGACAAATTACCATTGAATGAACACCAAACCTGCTCCTGAGGCTGCTCCTGGGTCACAGCCAGACACAGAGAGGAGCTCTAACACAACACAGTCAAAGGTTATCTGACCCAGTGTGAAAGTCTTGAGCATCCAATGAGAACCTCCTCCTCCTCCTCCTCCTGAAGAGGTGAGGTGCACATCTGGCTGCAGCAGCCTCACTTTAACACAGGAGCGGCTCTAATTCCTCCTGGTAAACTCTGCACACTGAACAGTACAGGTGCAATTTCAAATAAGGAGACTGGTTGAATCTTTAACAGACATGTTTAACGTGTCACCAGCTCACGTTCCTACATCCAAACACCCCCCCCGCTGTCTTTGCCGGGCCCGGTGGTGCGTTCTCCGGCTAAGCACAAAACTAGAGCCCGAGGTCACTGAGGCCTGCGAGTAATAAAAGCTAACAGGAGGTCCCTCTATTCATTTCTAACGCAGGACAGCTTGTGTGTTTTAATGTAGCAAGTTATCCCATGAGCACCGTTACAGCAAACAGTCAAGAAATGATTGAAATACGATTGTGTTTTGATTTCATGGAGACAACCTGCGGTTAAGCTACATTAGCTTTAGCATGTGTGAGGCTGCCAGCACACGATTACTACTTTACACCGGGCTCACTATGTGCCCGATCACTGATGATGGGCACGGTGCTGCTCGCATTATAAGCCAGCTTTAGAACCGAGGCCGGTGCACTCGTGGTTGAACCGACTCGGCTGTGCTGGGGCCGGGTGGTGCAGCAGGAGCTACACACACACACACACACACACACA